ATGTTACTAAGAATTAACTATCTGCTTCTTTCTCAAGAAAACTGCAGAGGAGCTCTTTTGTGTTTGCTCATACCTACAAGTATCCTGCTTCACGGAAACCTGTCTGTTTGAGTGCTTAACCTAAATTCTTTTTTTTTTTTTTAAACCTAAACTCCTAAGTATCTAGTCCGAGAATTTTTTTTTTTCCCTATTATTTTTTTCTGGGAGAGGTTTTGCCCCTAAAATCCTACCAAAATAACTCCATTCTTGCATGATCACTCAGACACAGTTTTTCAGAGGCTATTCTAATGCACACTAGCTAATAAAAAGAAACTTTTTTTCTTCATATTTCAATGAAGCTTTGAAAACAACCTACTTTCTTTTTGTATAGAGGATCTAATTTACTTCACTTCTGAGATCAAACCATATTAATGTTTTCTGTATTCTATTAATCTAGATGAAAAAAATCACAGGAGATAATTATTAGTATTACTGAAGTTAACATATTTTCCTAAGCACCACATTTAGTTCTCTATTAAATGTTAAAATCTAAAATATTAATTTTTTTCTGTGCAGGATCAAGAGAAGCGTAAGATGTAGTCATAAGTATAAGTCTCTAATAAACATTACCAATGAGTTTACCACTGAGATGATTACTCTGGAGTATTTTTTTCCAATCATTTTTTAAAAACCTACAGACATTGTTTTTAAATGCTGTTATCGAGTCAGTTCCAACTCAAAGTGATCCCAGGTAGGGTTTCCAAGGAGTAGCTTGAACTTTCCAAGGTGAGTTTGAACTGCTGTCCTCGTGGTTAGCAGTTCAGTGCCCATGGAACAGGGACACACCAGGACTCCTAATGTGAGACACGTCTATACTGACAAATGCTCAAATAATCCAATCTGTACTCATTTTAGCGAGAGTGAGGTTTTCTTTATTCGATTTTGCAAAATCGGGCACCCAGCCCCGTAGACATGGGAAGATGAACCACATGGCCCTCCACAAATGATTTTTACTCTTGTCCCCCCAAAGCCCCTCCTCCAGTTCCAGTTCTCATATACAATTTTCCCTCGCCCTAAAGAAGGCAAAGTGGCTTACCCAAGATCTTAATGGCTGTATTTTTATTTAAATTTCCTAGTCCCAGAAGAGCCTGCTTAAATCAACAATCTGTATGCCAGATCTTAAAATCTCATGAATTCCTGAAGACGGACCACTAGAGTTATTTCTCAAACAGGTTTCAGATGCATATACGATGATTGAAAACACCATGGTGTGGGTCAGGTGCAACTTGGCCCTCAAAGTGACATCTTTACGCTTTAATATTTTAAAGAGGTCTTTTGTAGCAAATTTGTCCAATGCCATATGCCATTTGATTTCTTCACTGCTGATACCATGAGCAGTGATTGTGGATCCAAATAAAATGAAATCCTTGACAACTTCAATGTTTTCCCCATTTATCATGATGCTGTTTACTGATCCAGGAGTGAAGATTTCTGTTTTCTTTACATTGAGTTGTAATCTATACTGAAGGTTGTAGTCTTTGATCTTTTATCAGTAAGCAGTACAAGTCCTCTTTGCTTTCAGCAAGTAAGGCTGTGTCATATGCATATCATGTTGCTGTTGTGACAAACATTGTCTAAACTGACAAATGCTCAAGTAATCCAATCTGTACTCATTTTATGGAGAGTAAGGTTTTCTTTATTTGATTTTGCAAAATTGGGTGCCCTGCCCCATAGACAAGGGCAGACACCCTGCATGGACATTTGACAAAGAATTTTATTAACCTAACTCAGAAAAAGCCCCTCCTCCATTTCCCCTGTACTGGGTATTTTGGAGTTTACAATCTTTCAGGTGCCTACTGGTCCCTACAGGGAGTATTCTCATCTAAGATTAGTTTCATCCCCTCCCCATGAACTTCCCCTACTTCTTTGATGTGTATTCTTATTTTAAAGAGTCTACTAGGTCAAAGTAGTCTCTTCCTCTTCTTATAGTTCCCTTTTGTCATGCCAACCTGCTACCCTCAAGATATCCTTGATTCTGAAGATGGATCACCCCAACAGCTATTTCTCACATTGTTAAGTGGTGTAGAGTCAGTTGCAACCCATAGTGACTCTATATAGGGTTTCCAAGGAGCAGCTGGTAAGCCTGAAAACCACTGACCTTGCTGTTCAAACCAACTTTGCAGACTAGCACATTAACCCACACAAAGAACAGGTTGTTAACGAGCCTTCCTCCAATCCTGATGCTGTGTTCTTTTTAAATTGTTGTTAAGTGCCATTGAGTTGGTTCTGACTCATAGCAACCTTGTATAGGGTTTCTAAGGAGCAGCTGGTAGATTTGAACTGCTGACCTTGTGGTTAGCAGCCCAATGTGTTTCATTCTGTTGTATATAGGGTTGCTGTGAGTTGGGACCAAGTCAACAGTACCTAATGACAACATCATTGTTGTAAGAAATAAATCATAAATATAAGGTAGCACAGAAGCTGGCATATAGTAAGCGCTCAACAAACCTTGGCAATGAAAATAATAAAAATTATGGCAGAGTGTCTTGTCCCCTAAGGAACTCTGGTAGCACAGTGGTTATGAATCGGGATGCTAACTTCAAGGTCAGCAGTTTGAAACTACCAGCATGTTCCGTGGCAGAAAGATGAGGCTTTCTGCTCCAGTAAAATTTGCAGCCTCGGAAACTCTGTACAGGGTTGCTATGAGTCAGAACTGACTCCAGGGTACTTAACAACAACAACATATTTAGGATGCAATTTGTAATTTGGTATAAGGAAAATTTAGTAATTTATTAATAAAAAGAGTTTTAACAATATGTTTTATACCAATATAAGCAAGACCCAAATGAATACATATCACACACACCAAAAAAAAATCTCTTTGGGTAAAAATTTAAGGGAAAATATCCTGGCAAAAATATGGCACTTGTGGCATTGTGGGTTAGTGTGCCAGACTGCAACATCATTTGAACTACAAGGTCGGTGGTTCAAGCTCACCAGCTGCTCCTTGGAAACCCTATACAGGATCTCTATGGGTTGGAACCGACTCGACGGCACTTAACAACAACAACGACTGTTCTATTACACAGTGAATAATACTATCATTTATAATTTACTTATAGCCTCCTTGTAGTCCTGGTGTGGAGCTATAGGATAAGCACTTGACTGCTAACTGCAAGGTCGATGGTTCAAATCCACCAGCTGCTCCTTAGAAATCCTATATGGAGACTCTATGAGTCAGAACTGATTTGACTGTACTTAACAACATGATAAGTCTATTTACTTTCAGAAAGAATTTGATGTGGCTTCTTATTATAATGTTATAATGGAGTCCTGGTGTGATGCTGTAATTGACAAGCACTGCTAACTGTAAGGTCTGCGGTTCAAACCCACCAATTGTTCCTAAGAAACACTATATAGGGTCACTCTGCATTTGAATCAAGTCAACAGAAGCACTTAACAACATCAACAACAGCCTTGTTATAAAGCTTGATTACAGTAAATAAGAGTGAAAAAATTACAACAACAACAACAAACACCTGTCAACTGGGATCAAAGACTTCAGATCCAGGAATAGTACATAGGTGACATATCAGTTAATGAATTCAAAGGCTGAACAATAATTTAAAATGTCTTTTAAACGGTGTACAATGTGAATATCAAGAAAAATAGGATGCAAAAGAATAAAGAGTCCTGGGAGAAACATGAAACATAAAAATCCTAAAGAATATCACCTTACATTTACAAATCTTCGTACATAATAACAGTATCTTTAAATCTATTAGAATCTATAATTTCTATAACATTAGAATTTCAATTGGAAGTAAAGTAAGTTTTTATTTTGAAATAAATTTTATTCCCACTTTTGCCAGTTTTTCTTTACTCTAGAATACAGAGGTGGTGGTGTGCTGTGGGATCGTTTCTGACTCATACCCTGTATAAGGTTTCTGAGGCTGTAAATCTTTACAGGAGCAGAAAGCCTCATCTTTCTCCTGCAGAGCAGCTGATAGTTTCAAACTGCTAACTTTGAGGTTCGCAGGCCAACTCGTAACCACTATGCTACCAGAGCTCCTTAGAATAAAGAGGTAGTGGCAAAAAAATATATCAATGGAAATATCTAATTGATAAAAGGGTATTGGTTGCTACTCATCTGGAGCAAAAAAGGAGGAAGGAAACTAAAGACTCAAAGAAAATAGTCTATGGGACGAGCCGACTCGAACCATGGCCTCATCTATTCAGAGATCAGAAGGATTTCATGGTGCCAGGCTACCACTGCTGGCCCTTTGATCAGGGACCCATATATAGAAAAGGAGAAAATTGTAGAACAAAACTCTAATTCTTAAAACAAACAAACAAAACAACAACAACAACAAAAAAAGGCCAGACTTGCTGTACTGGTAGAGAAGACTAGAGGAACTCCCAAGACTCTTGCCCAGAGATACCCTTCAAACTTAGAACCGAAAGCACTTCCGGAGGTCCCTTTTCAGTTAAATAACAGATTGGCTCACAATTTGAAAATACCACCTGTGACTATGGGCCCTTTTTCAAAAGACCATCTATCTAAGGCCTAATTGTTATACTTGATAAGTGCCATCAAGTTGGCTCCTCGGAAACCCTATACAAAGCAGCCCTGTAAGTGCTTCCGAGGAACAGCTGGTGAAGTGGAACCGCTGACCTTGTGGTCCAGTGAATTATTCCACAGTGCCACACTAGGACACATTTATTCTAAAGTAAAGATGAGAAGGTCAGGAGGTGCTGAGAAGCTGGATTAGTTGAAGTGAACCTTCCAGAACAGAAGTAATGAAAATGTTGACACACTGTGGAAAATGTAGGCAATGGCACTAAAAGTATGCTTAAAAGCTGTTACAAGGGGACCTGATTTGCTGTGTAAATCTTCACTAAAAAACCAATAAAAGATTTTTTTTAAAAAAAAGGTATTGGTTGTTTGCTAGGTTTAAAAATAAATTCTGAGGATAACATAAATTATAGTAGCATCATCTTTATAAATATCTTTAAATTACCTCTAGTTTCTTGGAACAAGGTCCACTCACAAGTGCAATGACACCATTGTCAGATACCTGGAGTCAGACAAGGGAAAAAGAAAGAAAGCACAGAAATGGAGATGACAGAATGAAAATTTTCTAAAAATTATTCTTCATTAGAATAGTCTTATTGTTCCCATTTAGCTAACATGTGTTTTAACTATACATAATTTCCACCCTTGTTACCTGAAATCGTTAAGGGAAATTTGCCAGACTAGAAGGAGCTCTGGTAGCGTAGTGGTTA